CTCTCTCTGCCCCTTCCCTGCTCATACTCTGTGTCTCTCTCTCTCTCAAAAAATAAACAAACATTTACAAAAAAAATTTTTTAAGTATTTATTTATTTTGAGAGAGAAAGAGAGCAGGGAAGGGGCAGAAGGGGGAGGGAGAGGGAGAGAGAATTCTAAGCAGACTCCACACTCAGCACAGAACCCGACTTGGGGCTTATTCCCATGACTGTGACATCACGACCTGAGCTAAAATCAAGAGCGAGCTGCTCAACCAACTGAGCCCCCTAGGTGCCCCCCTAAAATTTTAAATTTAATGGGAGGAAGGGATAGGGAAGATAATTTCTTGATGTATTTGTATGAACTTATCCTTGACTCATCTAATACTACAAAATACAGTAAATAACGACTTACGTTTCTATATAAGTGACTTATTGTCCATGAATGAAAAATTAACTGCAACGTAAGTTGACTGGAATTTAGGAGAAAGAGGGAGAGAGAGAATCCTGAGCCAGCTCCACACTGTCAGTGCATAGCCCGATGTGGGGCTTGATCCCACGAACCGTGCAATCAAGACCTGAGCCGAAATCAAGAGTCAGAAACTTAACTGACTGAGCCACCCAGGCGCCCCAAGATATCACTCTGTTTTAATGAAGATTTTTATCACATGTCCCCAAAATAAGCTAAGCATCACTAAACCTTCAGAATAATGCTTGTCCATACTTCTGTTTTCTGGTTGACTCACAAATGTTGGCATTTCCTTTCCTAACACTCACATGAAGTAGGTGGGTAAGAATTAGTCATCTCCTTCCAGAGTAGGAAGGAGGGTACCGTACTAGGCCGAGGACGGATTTTGACTCAGTAAATTTTTATTGAGCAACTAGCTGCAGGCAGGATTGCCCAGGAGAGTAAGTGCCTTGGCCCTGCCATTAATTTGCTGAGTGATGTTGTACCCATCTGCTCACACTGAACCTCAGCCACCTCATCGTTACATGAGGGGCATAGATTAGACAGAGACAGGCAGGCAGGCAGATAGTAGTTCTGCCTTTCCGTTATGATTATTGATCTGTACTACGAACAGCTCTTTCAAGGAAACGAAACTTTTCTTGTTTGTGCTGGAACTTACATAGCCATGAATGTTCTAGGACATCACCTTAGCCATCACATTTGTCTTTCCCTTAAAACCTTCTATGGGGGCACCTGGGTGGCTCAGTTGGTTAAGCATCCAACTTTGGCTCAGGTCATGATCTCGCAGTTCATGGGATTGAGCCCCGCGTGGGACTCCATGCTGACAGCTCAGACCCTGCTTGGAATTCTGTCTCTCCCTCTCCCTCTGCTGCCTGAGGGCATGCTCTCTCTCTCAAAATAAACATTAAATAATGTTTTCTAATGTTATTGGCAACATAAAATTGTCACGTAAAAAAATTTTTTTTAAATATTTATTTATTTTTGAGAGAGAGAGAATGCAAGCAGGTGAGGGGCAGAGAGAGAGGGGGACTCAGAATTTGAAGCAGGCTCCAGGCTGCAAGCTGTCAGCACAGAGCCCGACACGGGGCTCGAACTCATGAACTGTGAGATCATGACCTGAGCCGAGGTCTGAGACTCAACCAACTGAGCCATACAAGCGCCCCTAAAATTTTCATTTTTAAAAAACCTCTGTTTCTTTTATTACTAGTAAATATAACCTTCTCTTACCTCCTTTCCCCTCCTCTCTTTTTTGGCCATTTATCTCTTCAGCTTTCAGGGCTCATCTTTCAGATTTGAGTTAAGCCCTTTGCCACATTTTTTACCAAGCATTTTTTTCAGTTGCTCATTAGCGTATACCAAATATTTTGGAGCAATTTCAGTGTTTAAACTATGTAAAGACTAAGGAAGGTAAATACCAAAGCATATAACTGGATCAGTGTGAAGCTGTTCAAACAAATCCTGAAATTGAACCATTTCTTTCTAAAGGGGGGGATTTTAGTAAATTGGAACGTAAAAAAATGTTTTTTTAATGTTTATTTTTCAGAGAGGGAGGGAGGGAGGGAAGGAGGGGGGAGGGGCAGAGAGAGAGGGAGACACAGAATCTAAGGCAGGCTCCAGTCCTTGAGCCATCAGCACAGATCCCGACACAGGGCTGAAACTCAGGAACCGCGAGATCATGACCTGAGCCAAAGTCGGATGCTCAACTGACTGAGCCACCCAGGCACCCCAAGAACTTTTTCATTTCACTAAGGGTCACTGTGAGTGTGAAAATATGTTTGAGGAAGTGCTTAGATCAGTTAAGCTACTGGTTTTTAAGACCTAATACAGGCCATGTTCTGTGGAGTCATTTACCTAATGAATTATGAGGGTAGCCAGAGACCGAGGTAACGTCATGAGGCACAGCATGTCAGTTGCCCTTGGAAGTACTGTGTTCACAGACCATTCTGTCAAGTGACTGATTACTAGACTAGGACGACCTTAGGCCTCTCATGGTGTAGAATATTTTATGTTATATTTAAAAGATTAAGTGAGCTTTAGTTGTTCATAGGTCTTTAAAACATAAATAGAGGATAGTTAAAAGACACGGTCATATGTATTATAGACTTATAAAAGGGATTATCCTAGAAGTCTCCATAGTCCAAAAAAGTCACTTAACATCATTTCCTAAACTGCCTGCACTAAATCTAATCTTATTTTCCCCATTTGAATCCTGAATAGACATGATATGGGGTAGTAAAAGAGGTGAAAATGTAAAAGGAAAATTCTGTTGAGTCTTCAAATAAAATGACTATACTGAGGCGTAGAGGGGTAATTTGAGTGCAGAGATCCGTGGAACTGTTCCTTTTGTGTAGTTACCATCGATTTTATTTTTTCTTAATAAATCTGGTTCATTGGCAGCAGCCCTGGAACTCATTATGTTTACTCTATACTCCTCAGCTATTATTTCCTTCACATTTTTTTTATTCTTTTTTATAGGAAGAAGAAAATCTGTGAGCTGTACGCCAAAGTGCTAGGATCCCAAGAAGCTTTACACGTAAGAAACCCTCAGCTCTAATCCCTAGAAGGTTCTGCTCTGTTTGCTCTAAGTGGTAAAGCAAAGCCGATTCCGGTTTCCCGACAGTCTTATGAAGAGAGTCTTATAAAGGGATATACACTTACTGGAGGATTAACTTCCATCACAAAAAAGCCAGTAACGGCTGCCGGCAGGTGCATGCAATTTCTTTTGCAGTAGTTCTTGGGCTGTTTCCGTGCTCACTGGAAAACTGGCAGCCAGTTGCAGTCAGAACCTGGAGCTGGGTGAGATCAGTTCCCAGGATGGAGGTCCTGCCCCCCCCACCAGCCAGCTGAGTGCTGAATCTAGACTCTCTCAGGTCAAAGTCATCCTCATTGATTTTTCCATCTGGAGACTCCATTCACAGCTCACTTAGGGATTCTATCTGAGGATCCTATTAGATCGCTGGAGGCTTTTTCAGGGGATTATCTCTGAACTGTTCGATAATAAACTTGCGGACCGTGTCAGGGAAAAACTCAGACAACGTTCTCTCGTGTCTCTTGGAAACCAGTTTTCATCTTCAGTGGTCCCCATTTAGACAGGATTCCCATCATTTGCTTTTCCAGCTCGGAGAAATGGTTCCGAAGAAAGCCTTTCGTAGACATTGTGCTTATCTTCTGCCTTCTCCCTTCCACCCTTTTCTTTCAGCCCTGGTGGATGGCAAGTAAGGTCTGTTATTTAGAGAATCCAGAGATTTCCAGAACCCGACCCCTGATGGGGTTTCCTGCAGACTTATTCTAAAGACTTCAGAGTCTGCGTGGCGATGCCCTCTCTGCCAGATAATGGACTACTCTGTGGCTCCCCTCGCCAAGAGGTTGAGAAGACCAAAATATACATGTTCTGTCACTTGGTACCTCACAGAAGGCCATTTGCTTGGTACCGTCATGTTTCCCCTTAAACGAAATCGCGACACAGGGCCACCTGTTTTTAAACATAAACCTGTTGTTAAAGTAAGATACAGGAGAGACTTCGTTGTTGACAAGTTGCATTTCAGCTTTGTCTTCCCTTTGGAATTTTCTCCCCACTGAACTGCAGCCCGTGCACTATGAAGAGAAGAACTGGTGCGAGGAGCAATACTCTGGGGGCTGTTACACCGCCTACTTCCCCCCTGGGATCATGACTCAATATGGAAGGTACTACGTGGCCACTATACCGATTAATATAAGACATGCACACGGGGCTCCTGGGGGGCTCAGCCGGTTAAGCGTCGACTCTTGGTTTCAGCTCAGGTCTTGATCTTACGAACCGTGAGATCTGAGCTGAGCTCTTTGCTGACAGCGTGGAACCTGCTTGGGATTCTCTCTCTCTCTCTCTCTCTCTCTCTCTCTCTCTTCCTCTCTCTGTACCTCCCGTGCTTGCTTGCTTTCTCTCTCTCTCAAAATAAATTAAAAAAAAAGAAAGACACATCCCCCAAATATATATATGTAAAAGACATACACCAAACTTAAACTCATAAGCAAAACTCGATGGAAAGTTAGAAATAGTAGTCAGCACTTTGATTTGGAATGCCCTGGTAGCTAGTGTGTATATTTCTGGACGTCTATAGGAAAATAGGGATGTCGGTACATAGAACAATAGCTGTCAGAACATTGAATGAGAGCAGAGCACGGGTGAGGATTTCAGGTGTCAGTGCTCCGTGTGGGGACTCTTCGAGCCGCACTGTCCTCCAAGGGGCCTTCTTCTTTTTCTTTTCTTTTTTTCTTTACCTGTGTATTTATTTTTGAGAGAGAGACAGAGTGTGTGCGGGGGAGGGACAGAGAGAGAGGAAGACACAGAATCCGAAGCAGGCTCCGGGCTCTGAGCTGTCAGCACAGAGTCTGATGCGGGGGCTCGGACTCACAAACCGCGAGATCATGACCTGAGCCAAAGTCGGACGCTTAACCGGCTGAGCCACCCAGGCACCCCTCCAAGGGGCCTTCTTGAGCTCAGTCAGACGTTTAGTTTCACACGACTACCCTAGGCTTCTGGGTAGCCTTCTACGCAGAAGGACGTTAGCAAAACACGTCTTGCTGCAGCCATTCGTCTTGACGGGGAGGCGTCCCCACTGCACAGCGGGGGTGATCTCGCACAGCGTCAGGGGAGTCCACCTTAGCTTAGAAGCCCCCTGCCCCATAGGAGCCATTGTCTCTTGGAACAGCCTCATACGCATAGTGTCCATCCAGGGTTCCTGCAAGAGATATGCCCTGCTACAAGAGGCCCCACACTCAGGGAAGCCCAAAGTGACAGCCTCCTACTGGGTATTTGCAATTCATGACAAGTCTTCCCGCCCCAGATGCTATCACCAGTGTGTGTAGGGGGTGGGGGGGAGGCATTTTTGCAGAAGCAGTGTCGCCTGGTAACGTCCCTGGCATTATACCTTCAGCGGGTTCCCAGAGGAACGGAGCTAGAAAGTTAACTCAAGGTCACATGTGTCCACAGAGAAACAAGGACTTGTTAACCCTTTCCTTACATGAGATGTTTCTTTGTCTTTTATTTATTTTTATTTATTTTATTTGATCTTTTTAAGTTTGTTTGAGAGAGAGAATGAGCAGGGGAGGGGCAGACAGAGAGGGGGACAGAGGATCTGAAGTGGGTTCCATGCTGACGGCCCCAAGCCAGGCGCCAGATAAATTCACAGAAGCTAACTGTACAAAGCTGGTTATTTTGAGACAGACATAGAATCCCTCGGGTCCCTCCTTTGCTAGAAATCCATTGATCTCCTTGTCTTCCCACTGGCCACTGCGGTTCCTCCTGACACCCTGGGAGTGCCTGCACGGCTGGGGTCTGCTGCCGGATGCCCTCTTGTGAAGAACGCACCCCTTTGGAAGAAACGGTGTAGGGACCAGAATGGACCACAAACAGGGAAACCCACAGCCAGGAAATCCGATTGCGGATTTCACGTGTCTTCTTGTGTTCTGATCCTGGTTGGCTAGGAAAAGGCCAACGTCCCCTTTAGCGACCGACGATCTGGCAGCCTGATTCTCCCTGGCTTGAAATTTCAGCCCCTTGGGCGCAGGCCCAGACAATAGGGGTGTGGGGGGAGCCTTTCACCTTCGGTTGGGCCGCACGGGAGTCTTTGAACGGCTGGAGTTGCCCTGTCTTGGGTGGGATAAATAAATGAGGGCAGTGATGGGCTCATTTACCCTCAGTGCCTTCCCAAGTAACTGTGCGTGACCTCTCTGTTCCCTGGAAGGGTGATCCGCCAGCCGGTCGGCAGGATTTACTTTGCGGGCACTGAGACTGCCACACACTGGAGCGGTTACATGGAAGGGGCAGTAGAGGCTGGAGAGAGAGCTGCTAGAGAGGTAAGGGAGACAGCCGTGTCACTCGCCCTCTGGAGCGCGGTGGCGGTTTTGGCATCTGGCCTTTCTTTCTGGATCTTGACTCTGGTACGTTTGTGCATCCACTTCTCGGCCGCTCACGCCACTCATGGGGCTCATCTGTGGCTACCCCCAACCTTAAATCGGTCGGACCTACAGAATGTCACTTCATAATACCGTGGCCACTTTCTTGCAGGTCTTGAATGCTCTCGGGAAGGTGGCGAAGAAGGACATCAAGGTTCAAGAACCTGAATCAAAGGTGAGTCTAGCAGCTTCACCTCCACTGACCAGTAATTGCGTAAAAAACTGTGCCGCTCTAGGACACACGCATGCATCGACTTGGCGGATATGTTCCGCCCGTCCTTGTCCATGCGAGCGAGAGCTGTCTGCTAATGATCTCTCCTCATTCGTGCAGGACGTTCCAGCTGTAGAGATCACCCGAACCTTTTGGGAGAGGAACCTTCCCTCAGTGTCAGGACTGCTGAAGATCATCGGATTTACCACCTCAGTAACTGCCACGTGGATTGTGGTGTACAAATTCAGGCTCCTGTCCCGGTCATGAGGTTCTTCTGCCTGTGTCCTTCTGCTTCTCTTCCCCAGCAGCATCAAAAGCAAATCGTTGGCAAAGGCTGTGTCGTTGGACTGTTGTTAATATGCACCGGATTTAACCCCTCGGTGTAGTCTCATTCGGTGTCAGAGTAAAAACAACCCAAAAAACCACCTCGTAATTTCAATAAGATCAAACTTCATTGTATGATTTGCCTGTGTAGACTGATTTGTTCTGATTGGGAGAGTAAAGCCATGTGATCGATTTCTTAATTTCAAGACATCAAATTGAATTGCTGATCAGAAACCATTACCATGTCGGGTTTTTTCTCCTCGTTAATACAAAATGCTTGATGATTGCACAAATGAAGCATTTCACTTTCTCCCTGGAGCGGTTGCGTAGGCACAAGCCCAGCCTGTGACTGTCTTTTTCAGTCCTTAGGAAATGGTGAAGCCCAGAGGCTCATAGCTTCCTGGGGGTGCGAGGCTCCCCCTTTGGATGAGGGGTAGTAAATGGAAGCCGTACAGATAGACCATTAGTGGGGGACATCTTGTGGGCAGTGCCTCAGGGATCTCCTGACCGCTTCTAATTCCTGTGAAGTTTCTAGATATCCGATCTAATGTTCAGTTGACTTGCTGTGACTTTTGTGTAGCTCCCCAGGGGATCACAGTAGACCTAGTGGCAGGACTGTCTCCCGCGAGGACAGTCCTTATGAGCTCTGCAAGAGACCAGCTGCATTCGGTATCTTCTCTTCCTCCTAGAAGATGGCTAAACATCACTTCACTCATCATTCGTGATAATATTCATGCCGATTTCAAGACAGTATTGTCCTTTTTGCAGGTAGACCCTGGCTGTGTGAAGACCCCTAGTGGCATATATATTTTTTTTCTTTTGTCCTAGGACCGTAGTAGAATTAGGCGGGTCTAGAATTAGACACAGTTACCTTTGAGTAAATACTGGCATGCTAATCTCTCTCAAGTAGGAACTGAAATACACCTGATAAATTTCCAATTGTTATTTGTTGAGACTACCAAATACAGAAAGGAAATTGGGACTTTCTAGCATACCCTCACTGGCTTTAGTTATTAAGTTCATGACAGACATGACATTGACTGATTTTAATACGAAGAGTGACTTCTCTATTTTAGGAGTAATGTGGGCCCAGAATGGTGCCCACCTCTTTCTGGCCTTTCCCATTTTAAAACCTCAGTTGTTGTTTTGTTTTGTTTTGTTTTGTTTTGTTTTGTTTTGTTTTCAAAGCCCCTTCCAGAGGGTTTCAGCCTTAAAACAGTACTTTTTTAGATATAAGCATCCAGAAGAAAAATCAGCACCGATGTGATCAAATAAAGCAGTTGACAAGATTCAGTGAACTTGGGTACACAGGTGGATATGCACTTAACCCCCACGTCACTGATGAATGAGGCATTTTAGAGGAAGTTTCTAGATACTTGAAGTGTACTCTTTAAAGTACCAAAAAGTTTACATAAAATTTTTGATGGGCATACTTCCACACATTATTCAACAAACAAGATTCAAATTCATCTTTTTTTAATTAGGTCAATCGTTAAGTGCCTCAATTATTTTATACTTTCATAAGAGAGAATGATACCATTGTGTTTACCCCTCTGCTGAATGTCACATGATTGGTTTATAGCTGCTAAGTCTACTACTGCTCCTTCTATCTTCTCCCATATTCAGGATTTTATTTCATACCCTTATTATCCTAATACCTCTTGACCTCATCTCCTATCTCCTATTGAATGGGAATTAAAGATTGCAGAGAAAAATCAACCCAAGTTTATTGCATAATTAACCTTATAAATTTGCAAGTCACTGGACCCTGATAACGAGGGCTTAAGGTATTCCAGTTTTGCCTGTCCTAAGAGCAAAGAGCAGGATTTTTCTGCCACTCTTTACTTTGTAATTGAAAAGCGTTTTAGCTAACGTAGAAGTTTGGGTAATGCCTTGGATGTGCTCCAGTCCGGAAGGAGTTGCCGCATACTATATCAAACCGCTTAGAGAAATCACATCCCTGATCTATTTCAGTTGTTTCTGTTCACTTACTGATTAACGTGGTTCTGACACACCTTTTGGGAAATGCTGATTTAAACCTCTTAACTGGCAACAGTTTTAACTGGGAGGAGGTTGTTAGCATAGCTAAGTCTTTAATGTAGAAAGACTCCTGAGTCTGTGATGTACCCTCTTCTCAAACTTTTTAGAAAACCCATTTCTTTCTCCTGATGAGAACCAGCCCTGTTAAACTGCAGCTTGAGCTTAAAAATGAATGCTAGTCCAGGTGTACCTAGGTAGGAAATCAGAGCTGAGGACACCCGCCATTTTGTCCACTGCCAAGATCCCATAGGTAGGTCTTTCTTCCAACCCTGAGAAATGAAAGGCAGTTTAAGCAGCTCATAGGGCCTGGCGTTAGCTTCCCAGTTCTGAAGGCTGAGTAGGCCTCACTCCATAGTAAGGTCGAGAAGTAGACGTAAAAAGCGAACCTTTTTGTCACGGATGTTGAAGAAGGACTTAAACCACACTGAAGGAAAACTACCGAAGGATTGTGAACTATGTTTACTTGGATTGTGAACTTGGTGCCTCGTGTTCTGTCTGAAATGTGCCCCAGTGCTACATGTGCGAGTACACGTATGTGTGTGTTTTGCCACTGAAATACGACTTTGCCTGTGTGGTACTGTTTTGTTTGTTAATAAAGTGCACTCCCATCCCTGATTCAGACCTGGCTCCTCTTTTCAGTCAGTGCTCCCCAGGTTAACTGGCTTCATAGAGCAGGAGGTCACCAGCAGGCCTCGTCCATGGATAATGGGCTCAAAAGGCCACTTTGTATGGACTCCCAAATTCTCAGACTTCCACGTGACTCTTCTGTCGTACCGAGGGTTCCGGGGAGCTGATTAAATGCTAGGACATTGTGTTCCTGACGGGGCCACAATCAGTGTAGAGTCTGATGGAAGCTTTCTCAGCTTAGGATACCTTGAGCAAATCACCGTGGTTTTCTGCTTCAGTCTCCATCTAGAAAAGGGTGGGCTGTACTTGATGGCTTCTAAAGATTCTTTTTCATGTCAGTATTATGTGATGTACACATTTGTTGCCAGCACTCTGCCTTTTTTTTTTTTTTTTTTTTGAATTTTGCATCCTTTAAAAAAAAACTATTATTTAAATTCAAGTTAGTTAACATACAGGGTAGTCTTGGCTTCAGGAGTAGAACCCAGTGATTCATCTCTTACATATGACACCCAGTGTTCATCCCGAACAGCACCCTCCTTGGTGCCCATCACCCATTTAACCCATCCCCCCCACCTTTCCAGGGACCCTCAGTTTGTTTTCTGTATGTAAGAGTCTCTTATGGCTTGCCTCCCTCTCTGTTTTTATCTTAT